CCACAAAGAACAAGTCCAGGTTACAACGCACTGGATATTTAACACATTTACAATTAAGTTAGAGATAAGTAGGAAAAGAACGTACCTGTTGTTCTGCTTGCCGTAGTTGATCCTCGGCTGAATGTCAAACGGTTTATTCATCATTTTCTAGGTTAGGTTCAAATCATTTGGCACACCCTGGAATCCCGTCACCTTTAGAAGTTCGGGTATTACGAAAGACATATAAGTAAGTTGTTTCTTCATTTTTGTCCACCCTAACCTTGAGAAATGTGAATCATAAACCGTGATGGTACAACGTACAAGATAGACATCAGCCAACATCCATTAGTTGCCATTCACATAACATGGGATGACTACTTCATCGGCATCATTCCATGCACGCGTGTGTGGCGTCACATTTGCATCAGCAGAGACGACCTTGATCAAGTGCCTCGAAGGTGTAAAATTGCAACTTCTTTTGCCTTTGCCTTTCCCTTTCCCTTAGCATTTATTGCAGCAAGGTTCTCAAATTCTGCATATTCTTGTTTCATTTTTTCCTAGACTAATGCGTTGCAACACAACTTAAGATTTTCTCACATAAAACAAAACTGAGGACATGTATGGCTATTTGTAAATGACAACGAATTCATATTAGGAACATAAGTGAATGGAAAAGAGGGTATCAATAATAACATAACATTTACCTAGAAACAAAAGTCAGTAGTTTCCACCAATCCCTAAAATCTCTAAGACGCTCTATCGATCACTTCCTCAAAAAGTAAAGGTCGACGTTGATGTGCTGAATCGAAGGTGAAATGCATTGTAAAAGGCAAAATTATACTCTTGTACTCAGTTATTATGTGGTAAACAGAAATTAGTTACAAATGAAGAACAAATACTTACATTGATGTTCAGAGTACCCTCGAAATTGAGGAGTACGGTAAAAAATCTCGACCCACAGTAGCCAATGTGTATAAGTCGACTTTATAGCTGGTACACAAAAAAATCACAGGTTGTTAGGGATATATGGATACTCGTTCAATATTCAATTGTTTGAATGACCACCAAAAGTGAACTTACCTCAGCAAGCACGCCCAACGCATCACGACGTCAACAAAAACCACTACATCAGGGTCCGGGATGATCCACATGGGATCCGGGGCAACAAAAAAATCCTCGACGACTCAACTATCACCAACTTTCCTTCTTTTGTAAGATTGGAGAGGGTTGACATGGTGCACGAGCTACATTCATTTACGCTTCTGCTACATTTTCTTACCGAGAAGGGGCATAGAACTAAATGGACCAGCAGCTTCGCTCACGTCGACAACTTCATCAATGTGGCTACTATGCTCGCTGACCTCCGTGTCTTCGTCTTCCTCTCTAAGATAGACAACTTGCCCTTCTCCCAAGTCACCATCTAATCTAAATTCCAATATATGCAAGAGTGATTGGGCACCATCATTTATGTTGCTAACCTTAATTATATCTGGTAAGATGACATCAAAATTAGGAAAATTCACATCGGGGGGCTGTCGATTCAATTATGTCTTTTCCAGAAGCTAACTTATGTTCGCTGGCAGAGGTATCAGGTTGAGGGAACGGTGAGGTAAGATCTTGAAAACCCATGTCATGGTCTTATGGAGGTGGAGGGGATTTTTCAAACTTTGCATCCTCGGGGACTTTTTCTGCGGCCCGCGCTAATCCTGCTAGCTTATCAAGGCTCGGGGCCTTCTCAAACGATTGAGCGTTTGCGTCACTTCGCAGACGCGCAACCTCAGCAGCCAAGGCCATGTGGGCACGCCACTCGGCCTCTAAATCCTCTAAAACTGTCCTAAATCAGACATCCACCATCAGTGAAAAATCTTCAAACTCTCACTTAGGAACAAACTCATAATCATGCGTATAAAAAACAGTGATTTCGTAACTCCACCGAAACCGATATCTGTTCAAAACAGTATAAACATCTAAATTGAAACTACAATTTACGGATTTATGTACTCACCGCTAAACAAGACGAGGATGGCAACACTCCCTTGCCTTGGTGCCTCGTCTTCGCCTTCCCTTTAGGTTTAGATGAAGGAGTGGCCTCGAAGTCATGATCAACATCTGCAAAATCTTTACTTTCGTCCTCCGGTGTTGCATTCCTACAAGGTTGAACATCATCAAACATGATGTTCCAGTAAGCTGCCTATTTTTCTTCCTCAATGGGAGTAATCGGTTAGACAAAAAACTGCATTCGACAAAATCGGTGTTGCATAAGTATGTACAATCAATTGTTAATAAAAATTTAGTAAGTTGTTTTAAATTGGAACAAACACGTACCGATTGTTGAGCAAAAAGACCCCTCTTCAACTTCACATGGGACGGATTTAAGTTGGTGTCCCAACAGCAATTCGAGGACAATAACTTAGGGTTCTCCATCCGCACCCTCGTATAGTTTTTGGTCTTCAAGTACAGCAAAGTTTCAAACAACTAGTTCTACAAAATTTAAAGTGATAATGTAAATAACTTGCAGCGACAACGAATGCAAAAGTACGTTAAACTTATAAAAACATACGTAAACCCCCATAAGTTATAGGTGTCTCGGATCGCAGCCCCCAATTTGTCTACATTTTTCCTTTTACAAACTTGTGGCAGGCCAAAGCAGTCACGGTTATGCTTGGCATTGACAACTAGATTGATGCAAATCTCCTGGAATACGCCTCCCATTTTTCTTGATTATCTACCAATGTAAACAAGTGGTAGTTAATGGATGAGTCCTTCTCCTTGCCCAAAACAACAAAGTGGACGAAGTACAGTAAACCCAGCTTGTAGAGATCGTCTTGGTTTTGGCACAAGTTAAATTGATCCTCCAATTGTTTCAGGGTTATCTTCTTCTTCCCCCTGAAATAGATCTCTCTAATACGACATTTATCTTCATTGTCTTTAAGAAGGAGGAAATTCTCCTAAACTGAGTCTGCTCACCAAACAGAATGCACGGCTCCCAAAAGTCACAACATGTTCCCCAAAAAGGAAGGAGATGGAATCATCACTCACTCTATCCTTAATAGCCCTAAGGATAACGTAGTGGTTGAACTACCCAAACCAGTGCGATCCACATCAACCAAATGACCGAAACAAGAATCCTCGAATTTCTTCAGGAGATCCTTTGAAAAACATCTTCTAATATTACCCAGACACCCCGAGTTGTATGACAGACAGGAGATGGTAGCAGGAAACACCTCATCCGGTGGACACACAAATTCTGACGGAGACAAAGATTTGACTTTCGACGTGCAAGATTTTCAACATAAGCAAATCAAATTAATAAGATAAACATGAACACTTGATATGCACAGTATATGCATATTGTCTGCCCCAATTGAATCAGTTCATCAACCAAATATGCCCAACATCTAAACATGCACAGAAGATGCAAATACCAGGCACAAAATATGCACATACTATGCACATAATATCTGCCAATTCATGAACAAAATTCAATCAATTATTTCCAATTATATCAAAAGGATAAGCACAGAATATACATACAGTATGCACAAATTTAACCAATTCATGAACCAAATTCAAGCGTGTCCAACATAGAGACATGCACATATTATGCACACAATATACACAAATGATGAACAAATTTGAATTAATTAATTTCCAGCAACATCTAAACCACATACACAACACAAATTAATATCGAATAACATAATAGTACAAAACACTAAACCACACCCAAAACCTAAAATTCCAAAATTTACAAAACCTAGGTCGAAATTATGAAATTCATTTCAAACCGTACCTCTTTTTCGATTTTTCCATTGAAATTTTTTTAAAGGATGGATAACACACTCGCCTAGGCCGAGAAATATATAGAACGGATTCCAAAGTTAGCGTCAGTCAGAAACTAGGGTGGAAAAGGGTCGAGCCGTTTGGGGTTAGAGTTCTTAAAGCTAAGGGTTGGGCGCTAGAGATTTTCGAATAAGGAGGTGCAAATGCTGATTGAGTTTGACAAATTAACTCATTTACCTACAAGGGCAATTAGGTCATTTCAAGGTGTAAGAAAAATCTTATTTCTGTCCTATTGTTGTGCATGGCTTGTGTATGCTTTGTGCATATTCAAAAATTCCTATTTCAATCCTAAGATTAAGAAAATGGGTCATTCCTGTAAATTTCCCTAAAAAAAATATCATGATATATGTTTTGTACTTAGTTCCACAAGAAATAAGAAACCCCATCAAACTATCATTTTTAGTTTTCTTTTTAATGGAGTAGGATTCTCTCCCCTCCAAATTTCTCTCCCCTTGGGTCCCCTCTTATTTGAACGATCACGATTAAGCAATGTCAACATCTTTGTTGACTTCTTTCTAGAGAGAGAAAAACAAAGAGGAAAAGTGAGAGAGGAGGGAACTAGAAAGGAGGGGATTAGGAGGGCAAAGAATCCTACTCCTTTTTAGTACAACGATATATTTACACTAAGTGGGTAGGAATAAATTGGTTGCAAACTCGCCATTCCCGAGATTCGACGCAAAGACATCTCACTTATAAGTGAAGACCGTTGTACTAAGTCTCTATTTCTTTTTGGAATAAATTGATTGCAAGCTTACCATTTCCGAAATTCGACGCTAAGCCATATCACTTACAAGTGAAGACCATTGTACTAAGTCTCTATTTCTTTGTTTCTTTGTTTTGTTAATTGAGTTAGTTGGACTTGGGTTTGAATGACCAAGCCGACCTCAAGCCTACCTTGAGCTATCTCGTAAAAAATTTCAAGTTGTTCACGAGCTTTACAAGCCAAACATACTAATGTTCAAGCTTTATAATAAGTTTACGGTCTAAAACGAGTTTAACTTATTTTTGTAAAAAATAAAAAAAAAAATCATAAACTTAATTTAACTGATAGCCAAATTGCCAGTTTACTCCAAATATTCTAATCATGCATTCAATATCCCCTACACTTTTAAATTTGGATCAAATTATTAGCGGGAAAAAGGAGAAACAATTGCAAGCACCATTTTTGGCATGCTCTAAATTTCCAAGTGCAGTAACGTTCAAATCAACAATAAAAAGGCTGCATTGTTAGAGAGACAGAAAGTCGAAAGATTTTCCTTTGCATTTACATCTCATATTTACAAAATAATGCCCTCTAAACTCTTCTACAAAATTCTTAACCAACCATCCCCCGCTATGATCTTCTCCAGATCCTAACTATAATAACTGAAATCGATCATATACACGCTGTATAATTATAAATCTAACTGCAGAAATTGGAAGTAACTTATCTTCTATATTTCTTTCGTCGCCTCCCCTCTTCCTACTTTTTCTTCCTTGTCACAACCATCTGTGGCTGTCGCTTAGGCAGCAGCGATTGATCGGTTGCTGATTACCTCAAGGATCACTAGAAGGAGAGACGAGAACACAAACTAAAAAGAAAAGACAACAAAGCAATGTTTTCAACCCGTCTTCTCGCTGATCCGGACAACGTCCATGACTCTTGCATTGCAAAAAAAGCACCTGTGGCAATTCAAAAGATGCCTGGTTATGCAGCCATAACATGACCTGTGGGAACAAGGTGAAAACTGAGCATCTGCTTCACGGGCATAACAGATGCAGCACATGCCATCATCCCCATCCGTTTCTCCCTCGCATATTGTATTTTCTTGTGATTGGCTCCGGCTGAGGAGGCTCAGAAAATTCTCTAGCTGGGCAAGTTTTACAAGATAAGCATCGCCTCTAAAGGTTCCAGCCTGAAAAATAAACAAACTACAGTATAAACAAGGACAGCAAACACGAAAGATTTGCGGACAATCCAATGTAGAGCTTTAATAGTGGTTATTGATGTTCAATTGTACACAAGCAGTCAACATTACACTTGAACTGAACTTGCTTCGAAGGAGCAAAAAAAAAGGAGTTTTAAGAAGAATTTGTTTCTTGTTAGAGAGAGAGAGAGGAGCAAACCCAGTTGTAATCCAATAGGTACTGGAATCTGCATTGAAAACTGTCAAGGCAACCCATACTTGCAAGATGCTCACAACATCATTGTGCTCCCTGCATTCCATATGCTCACCGGCATTTAACAAGTTTAAGATAATTCCTACAAGAGGTGCCAATATCATCCCTCGGTTTACTTTTTCTAAAGATTGGCCATGTCGTCTCAGCAACCTGCCAAAAAATCCATAAATGTTAAGGTAACTAAGTAAACAGACCAGGTTCACATTATCAAGGCCAAGGTCATAAGAACCAACAATGGGAAAGGTAGACCACGCTACAAAAGTCTAAAATTAACAATGAAAATTCCAAATAAATCTGAAAACCATTAGGAATCATATAAGGAAATGAAGTTCATGAAACAGTGTGCAATTAATACCAATCCCCTTACATGAATATGTGTCCTTTACGGTACAATGCAGCATGTCAGTTAAAGCACAATCATTCATATCAAATAAAAAAGGAGACAAAAGATAAATGAGGAAAAGAAAACACTCTGGAAGATAGAGGAGGACTTCATTTGCACTCTAGAATTTTCTTGCATGCCCTAATGTGAGGGCATAAAGAAGTGTGAGACTTCATTTTTGGAGTGCATATATCATCTCAGAAGATAAAATGGAAAGCAATAGTAGAGTGCATTTGCAAGCATAGAATCTTACAAGTCAAAAAACTCGGCATCTTCTGCTGATGTTATGTGGTTCAGAATAAAGACAATCAACTCAGTCAACCTTCGAAGGTTTGTTTCAGCTCCAAACAGAAATGCTTGAGGTATCGCGTGGGTACAGAACTCCAAAAGCCTTGCAAGATTGCATGAAAGATCAAATATGACACTGCATTTCTTTTGCTGGAACTCTAATACCTGCAAAAAATGTTTTCCCAAATTACAAAAGAAGTCTGATGGGTAAATACAAAAAGACTGGAACATAAAATAGCCAAGTCAAATTGGTCAAATATTAGGCCATTTATTTCCATTATTATCTCATTAGCCAAAACCAAAACTAGAACAATATTCTATTTTGCTACTAAGAAAAATAAACCAAAGTTCAGACAAGGTCCAAATTAAAAAAGCATATTGATTATACATATTTTATCCAAATAAGAGGGTCTCAAACAACAGTGACTTAAAATATTAAGTATGCTTTAACAAATGTGCCCTCGTTATTTATTCTGCCCAAAGAGATTTTGAATATTTGGTAAGGAACATATTTGGTTCTGCTTTCAAGAAATTTTGGAAACCGAGTTACAGTTCAGAGGTTATCTTTTTTATCTTCCAAAAACTACTATAGACATGAAGAAAAAAACTCACTCTTTATTCTGCCAAAGTTATTTCTTCACTTATAATGTGTACAAACAAGAAAGCACTTCCCCCTTTCATTACTCATTCTGCCCTATCAACCCACATTAAGGCTTTGAGTAGCCTTGTGGTTGTGGGCATCGTGCCCATGGTTTTGAGTAATCTCTTCCCTTCAGGATTTGTTCCAGTAAAGAGTACCCCATACCAAGGCTCCACCAGAGGATTTGTGCAAGTTGAGGGTTTGGGTTGCCCAAATACACGGCTAGGGTTTGTCGATAAGGCATTGGATCTAGGCAGAGACGAATTCGCATGCCAGTCCAAGCTAGACAAAGACAGACTTGCTTCACTTAATTTGTTATGGGCCTTTAATTGCGTTGTATTATCCATCTTCAGAACTGGATTTTTCACTACACCTTTTTTTCAGCAACTAAAAGCACATAAAAAGTATTCTTTAATATGAATTCCTAGCATCATGCACAGAAATTGTAGTGGACAAGAATTTCTAATGCTAAGGATGCTTTGAATTCATGTTTTCATTTAGTGGTCATTTCCAAATACGTTTTCACTTTATGAAAAAGGTTTCAGAAAATACAAAACTGGTTCTAAGTTACAGCGTCCATACAGCATTTCATTCAAAAACACCAAAACTGTTTTCCATTTCCATTCCTCAAACGTCCAAACAAGTTTGAAAGTTTTCTGTAAACTCCACCAAACAAGCCCTAAGACATGTAAAAATTTTCCTTCGATGTGTGTATACCTATATATAATACCACATGAAACTCTTTCTTCTCAAGAGGACCAAGGTGTTTAAGCTTAGAGATATATATCCAGAAAACAGAGATAAAACTAAGTAAAACATAACAACAATATTTATCCATACCTGGTACTTCTCTTGCATTTCTCTGACAGAAATTGAGAATTCAGTCATTGTCCAGCTGAGAGTGTTAAATAGGCGATTGAGAAAAGCTGAGAACAATTCCTCATCATTGATACATGTTTCTCCTAACAATCTCTATATGGATTAAGAGGTAAAAGAAAAATCAGAACCTATTCAGTTGTATTAAAGTATACGATAAAAATCCTAAAGCGACAATGAAGGACATTCACCTGGAAGACAACAGATGAAGATGACGATTCTCCATGCTTTGAAGAACCAAAGCCAGATCCCTTGCACAAACGCAGAAGAATGTTCGTCACAGGAATCCAGGATCTATTATCAAATGCTGACAGCAATGCCTTAGGCATCCTCTGGGTGGCTGCTTCATTACTCTCAAAAACAGACAAATACTCTTTGTACTGTACCAAGACTGAGATTGATTGGAGAAGCAGATCCCTAAGATCTGCACTCGATATTCGAGGATCGTTGAAGTGCGTGACCACAAAAGTGACCTGGGAAACAAGACACTCAAAAATCTAGGGAAAACAAACAATCCAAAAGAAATAACTCATAATCTTCATTAAGTCCTGCCAGGCCATGTCAGGCCATGTTTTGGCCTGTCAATGACTGGATCCAAATTTCAGAGGATCTACTATTTGCTGAGATGAAAAAATTATACGAACAAGATGTGTGATTACAAATTATATGAACCAAAACAAACATGCGGAAAATCACATAAGACATTGTTTTCCTTCATAGGCATGCTTAAATATTGAATTTATGAGATAATATTGTTCAGGTAAATCAAAATATAAATTATCTCGATGCTCAACTATCACATCTAAACCAAATAATTTATCGTTTTCAAATCCATGAGGCCTACATTTTGTATATTTCATTATACCCCAAGCAGAGCAGAGCATAAAATAGTAAGTAGGAAAGACAACATTAAAAGAATAAACATACAAATGAAGCAAGGCCTTGCTTGATAAATATCGATGAAGGTACAAATGGAGGATCACTTTTGCGCAATACATGGAAGCAATCGACCTGCAAGGAAATAGAAGAGTAATGAATAATTCCAAATATAGTGCTTCGGAAGAACCGGCACAAAAGCTCATTGCAATTTGCAGCTAAATCCAGTATATCCAGAAACTTTAACAAGCAGATGAACTTTTTTCTCTCTTTTTTAGATTTGTCACATAAAAAAATCAGAGGTTGACTTATTTGTAGAAAATTAAAAACTTGCTGTCTCAGAATATTCCCTAGCAGTTGTATCCTAATGTAATTCCAGAACTACTATAAGGGTGAGCACATACTGCATCCACCTGATACTCTTCTTGAGAGTTACAGTAACATGCAAATGTCACCATCAGAGAAACATTGAATGATATAATTTAAAAAAGGAATTGATGAAACGGTTATCCTTATTACATGCAATAAAACAAGTGCAAACACCAAAGTCTGCTTATTACAAAAACAAGGGAAAACACAAATATTCTCCTATCAGTAAGGAAAACACAAGCATTCATACTCAAAAGCAAGCTCACATAATTTTATGACGACAATTCATTGCATATCAAACTGTGTTATGTTCAATTAAAAAAGAGTTAACTTACAAGAGCTTCCAGATAATATTCAGGGATATAAAGGAACAGCAGATCGACTTTGCTAAGAACCAAAAGCAACTGGACGGTCCATATGCATGTTGCATACATTCCTCTTTGCTTCCATCGAGAAAATAGAGAAATACGGTACCTGCAAGGCAAGACAGAGTGATGAAGGAAACAGATGTAGGTAAATGTGTGCAAATAACTAATTTATGTATAATATTTTTGGGTGCATAATAAATTGCATAAATTAAATGACATGTTTAGCTGTCCTTTTATCAGAGATCATTCTCAAGACTCCACTTAGCAGTATACCTATAAATATGGTTAAACTAAACTAACAAATAATGCAATGTATATTAAACAGAAAAATGGGGGGCAAAATTCAGTTAAATTTTCTGAACACTTGGAGGCATGAAAATTGATGAAACAGTCATATACAAATTATGGAAACAAGCTAATCTTCAAGGTCATCTTACCAAGCACATTGTCTGACACAATCAATAACTTCTTCTCTATAACCATTACGAGCTTCTTTCAAATGCTTTAATTGCTCACTGCTAGTTTTTTCTCTTAATTGTTTATCAGCTTCTTCCATGAGGGATATTGACTGTGACTGGTGAGACATGTAATATGATGCCTGCAACCAGGAGTTTCAATAATTCAGAAATCTCATAACAATCAGGATACAAGCGCACACAAATACTCACAACAAGGGGGATACAACCAGGATAGCAGCTTTTTCCTTGAGGCATTTAAGATTAATCAACAAGAATACAATGATTATAATTGATAAATAAAAGCTCACAACAAAATAGCAGAATAAAAGAATGAGAAATAGAAGACCACAATTAAATCAAGAAAGGATAAAACCAAACAACAGTTTACCATTCAAATCAACAAATAGAAGATCAAAATTCCTGCATTTTAGCCTTAACAAATTTTCATCTTTTTAAGAATGTTAACCTATTAAAGCCAACCACAATCAGACTGATATTGAGCACGTTAGGCTAAGGATAACAAAAACATTTATCAGCAAAATTCTGTATTCTGTAAAGACGAACAATCATACCCCATTATCTCGTTACCTGCTTAAAATTTGGTGCAAGACCTATATGATACAACAGCAGCAAAACGTCTAGAAGTTCTTCTTCTCTGAGCGTAGCTGAAGACATATTACTTTCCCTTGGTACAAACCTCATATGCTGCACTGGGTGATAACTAAATTCAGATTCAGATTGATAACTAGAACTAGCTTTATCTTCTATTTCATCATTCAAACTTCCAGTACTGCATTCTGTAGCAACATGGGCAGATCTCTCTGGAATGGAACTGCAATGGACACGAGAACCTTTGGCTGTGTATCGAATTGGATACTTTGAGATTCTTGTAAAATCATCATTGTAGCATGAGCAACAACATGGTTTTTTTGTAGTTGAATGAGTCACTCTGGTTTCTTCATCGTCCATACAGCCTTCCTCCCACCGAATTAGTTCTGTTTCCTCATCATATGCCCGGTATGATTTTGAAAGATGACTAAACGACCCTCCAAGCCTAGAACTGTCATTTCGATGAGGATCATTTCTAAGAAATAGACCTACAGGAAAGCTTCGGTGACCACCCCTATGAAGAAAACCAACATCAGGGCCATTTTCAGTGCCTTTCAACCAGCCGCAAATATCGCCCATGCCAAACCCTTCGGATAAGAAATGAAGTATGACTGTGTACAAAGAAACCAGAACAGAATTGCTTGAAACTCCAGGAGGTGGAAGATTGCGGTCGGACCCTCTATTCTTTATTATAAGGTTCTGTAAAAAAGTTCTGAACACTGAACCAGGAAACTGGGGAGGTGTCACAGGTGGTATAAACTGTATGACCAAGCGACAGAGATCCCTATGCTTCTCCTCAATCTGCGAATAATAATATGTATTGTCAGCTAAAAATTAGTGTGGAAGTGCACAATGTGAACGTTCCCCATAATAAGCTCTAAATAACTATGATCAAGGAAAACCCCAATCAAACAAGCTGCGTATGTTATATATTGTTCATTATGTCAAACAAATAATGCAAATTACTGTATAGATCGATTTAAAAAAAATTCAAATATTTATTAATTAACTTCACATCAAATAGAAAGCAGTTCTCCCCAAACTCAGTTTACAGCATACACCAAGAAAAGGAAATTCATCACTAAGGTCCAAGCTTAATTTTTATTTTTTAAACTAAAAATGACAAAATCATGGACTTTTTGTACAAGGAAATAAGCATGTATATTTTTCTCAAATAAATAAGTATGGATCTTTTTCCCAAAGAAATAAGCATGGAATTACACTTTCATATGAATACAGGAATATGAAACTAAATTTTTCCTACGAAGCACAAATGTCCTTATCTCTATATTTATCAACTCAACTCGTTCCCAAACATGGCCTGTTTAGATGAAATATGCCTTTACCTTCAATTAAAAAAAAGCAAGAAACATATCATGCACCATAAATTTCAAAAAATTCAAATATATTATAAAAAGTTTCATGGGATTACCGTAGAATCCTACTCATAGTTTCAAATGGATCTTATGTGTATGTTTCCTGGTAGAAATAATAGAAAGACATTTATGTGTACTGACAATGTATATGATTTTAAATTTTATTGAACACTAAACTAACTTATATGCCTGACTTGACCTAATTGAAATCATCCACAGGGGAAATTGTGAAATTCATAATACTTCGTGCTCAATCACTCTGACAAATGTTTCCATATACTTCCACTCTAGTTTATCAAGATTAATATTTTCTAAAAGATTCATCACTTAGCCCAAATTTCACATTCTCAATACAACATGGACGATACAAACAAGATAAATTCAACAATGGCATCAAATAAAATCAAGCTCTTTAGCTCAATATGTTATTACCTTACTGACAGCTTCAGATAAAGCTCTAGTTGTCAACAACATGCTACTTTCATATGACACATCCTCACTTGAACCAGGCCAAGAAACAGATGGTATCATGGATTCAAGGTCATGCTTGTTTGGATTCTTCCGTGACAGAAAACCTTCAAAAAGGAATTCAAAATCAGGTGATTTCCACCAAAGCACCATAAGTTCTTGTTGTTGCAGGATGTGGCATGCCAGTGCAAGGTATGGGTACGACCCTGAACATGGGCAGTCTTTTAGAACCAGCAGAGTTGTTTTGCAAGCACAAGCCAAGGCATTTATGAAATGTTCAAACAACAAATGTGATCCTTCAAATTCTAGAAAGACATCAAGAACTCTATCTAAACTTGAATAATCATGTGGAATCTGCAACCCGAACACTTCCATCATGAATGATAGAAATGGACCCCAGGCAATGTACTCTCTGCTCCACACATCTGCTCCAAGTACTGAGAAAAATTCCTCACATATACCATGAGAAACAGGATAAAAAAGTTCTTCATGTGAAACAAACCTCTTCAGTATCCTCAACTTCTGAACAGAAGAGTGATTTGCCTGCTCCACCGAGTGCATACCCAACAGCCTTGACAAGCAATACAGCAACTGAGTAGCAAACGGAACCAAGGATGGAGGTGCTTGAAGGGGGAAATAGCTTTCAATGGGGAATCTAAAGGGGCGGGCCCCAAAATTTAATTCACATCTTTCGCCCTGAGACAGAGAAACTGCAGGATAATATCCAGATCCTGGTCCCATCTTACGAATGCCATGAAATGCGGGCCCAAGTGAAACACCATTTCTGTAGAATGATATTTCATTACAATCCAAATCTATGCAGCAGCCAATGGCATCACCAACAACCCATGACTGACCATAAGGCTCAGCTTCCTTGTTCCATTTTCTAACCCTCCTCCCATCAAATGCATATGAATCATCAGCATCACCTACACCCTTATGGTCAGTGAAAGGGCAAGAAACAGTTGCCCAACCAAGCTGCTGAATACCTGAAGTTTCTAGAATAACTTCATACATCCATTTACCTTTCCACACAAAAGCATTAGCCCTGGCACTGCTGAACATCGCCAAGCTCTCTACAAGCAAAGGTGGCTTCATAACTCTAATATCACCACGAATACTGGATTCATCAAGACCAATGATGTGGGGCGCACAGCCATCTCCAGAAATACAAACTCCATCTCTGTTTCTAAACACACTTGAACTTGCATGCAATTTAGAGAATTCACTCTGTATCAAACGACGAACTAGATTGCTGTCAATTGGACTGGCCAGCGGACCAACAGATTTGTTAGGGAGACCAAGAACATACTCTAAGGTACGCTCCACCGATTGATGGCCAAAATCATCACAATTTGAAACAAGATGGGTTTTCGACGAGTTCTCTTTACTGCCTTCGCCATTCAATAACACAGCTAGACCAGAAGAAAGCCGACCAATTCGTAGGCCGTCCTCTGCCATTCTGAACAAGGACAAGCAATATATGCCCAATTCTAACTCTAATCTTCGTTCAAACTCGAACGCTCCTTACGAAAATCCAGTTATCTCCAAAACCGATCCATCCAAACAAAACTCAGACGCCCTTCAAATCACAACCACGACCTGAAAGTTCACGGTTTCAACACATACAACTAAGTTTCAGAAACAATCCACACAACTTGTTTTGTTTGGTGGGCACATTGAAAACACAAAAATAAGATCAGCACAATTGACGGGCAAAGTTAACCAACATTTTTACATTTCCCACCCCCTTCCCCGCCCTCAATTTTCTCGGGAACCAAACAGGGATCAAAAGAAAATTGAATTGGAACAAAATTCGAAATTAATCAAAAAATTGAACAAAAGAATACATCAATGTCCAAAATTTTCAGCGCTCAAACAATGAAATTGCACATAAAATTGAGAAATGATGAAGATGAACTCACAGGTCCTGTCGTTTTGACAGTAGAAAGCGGCTAGGGTTTTGCAGCAGCCATTAAAATTAAGCACCGTCCATAACGTGCGACAGATAGGAGAGACGGGGAGAAGAGACGAGGACAAAAATGGAATTCTGAAGTTTATCGCCCAAAGGTCCGGGGGAAGCGAGAGACAGGACAAACAAAACAAAATACGAAAGAAGAAGCAGCTGCTGCTTCAACCCCACGCACGCTGACCCTCCAAGCCCTAAGGATGGTATTGACCGACACGTGTCGAGCATTTGCTATAGTAACCGGTTGCTGACATGGCGCGTCGTGCTAAACTGCGCCTGTAAATATACGTGGTTTTTTTTTTTTTCGCTAGTTAATGATGTACGTTGTTGGTCTCTTTATTTTGTTGAGAGGCCTGTCGCAGTGACACGAATCCATGACACGTGGACTTTTTCAATTTTAATTTAGGAAATTTTATTTAAATCCAAACAATTTATTGGATAAATTACATTGTACTCCCTCAGGTTTGGGATCTATTACAATCACATGCAACATCTTCAAAACATTTAACTTTCATACCTCAACTACTATTTTATTTCAATATAATACCTCCGTTACATTTTCCATCCATTGATCCGTTAAAAGCTGATGTGGCTGCCACAGTTGTGTCACGTGGCAAAAAAATTAATTTTTTATTCATTTAAAATATTATAATAATTTATCCTTTAAAAAAAAAAAACAAATTGAAACCCCCCACCCCTGCAAACAAACCTAGAAACCTTTCCCCCTCCGGACCCATCTCCCTCTCCTCCCACCACCACCGCAGCCCTTCCCCATCACCATCGCATCCCCCAGACCACTCATCCATCTTCACCTTCCCGACCCAGCTTCTCCCTCCTCCACTCTCTTCATCTCTCATTCCCTGGCCGAGACCCACCGCCAAAGACGACACCAAATCGGAACGCAAATCCTTATGTCTGAACCATTTATAAAGCCCCGCTTCCAACTTCTTCCTGTAACATCCCACATCACCCAGGGGAGCGATCATTAAATGTATATTCTCATCCCTACCTAACACGAGGCCTTTTGGGAGCTCTCACTAGCTTCGAGTTCCGTCGGAACTCCGAAGTTAAGCAAGAAGGTGGCCAGAGCACTCCCATGATGGGTGACCCACTGGGAAGTTACTCGTGGGTTCCCAAAAACAAAACCGTGAGGGAATGGTAAGCCCAAAGCAACAATATTGTGCTACGGTGGTGGAGCGGGCTCGGGATGTGGTGGAAACCCGGGCCGGGATGTGACAAATGGTATCATAGCCAATCCCTGGCCGGAAGTGTGCCGACGAGGACGTCGGGCCCCTAAGATGGGTGGATTGTAACATCCCACATCACCTAGAAGAGTGATCCTTAAATGTATATTCTCATCCCTACCTAGCACGAGGCCTTTTGGGAGCTCACTGGCTTTGGGTTCCGTCGGAACTCCAAAGTTAAGCGAGAAGGTGGCCAAAGCACTCTCATGATGGGTGACCCACTAGGAAGTTACTCGTGAGTTCCCAAAAACAAAACCGTGAGGGAATGGTAAGCCCAAAGCGGACAATATCGTGCTATGGTGGTGGAACGGGCTCGGGATGTGGTGGAACCCGGGCCGGGATGTGACAGAGTGTGAGGAGGAGTGGGTTGGACATGGTGGTGGTGAAGAGGATCGGAGGTGGAGGGGATGGGAGGGAGAAGATGGGTTTCTGGGTTTGTTTGGTTTTTTTTTAATTTAAATAGTGGAGGAGAGTGGAGGAGGGAGAAGGTGGGTGGGGAAGGTGAAGAGGGAGGAGTTGTCTGGGGGCTGCTATGGTGATGGGGAAGGGCTGTGGTGGTGAGGGGAGGGGAGGAGAGAGAGGTGGGTGAGGGGGGAGGGGTAAGGTTTATGGGTTTGTTTGCAGGGGTGGGTTTTAATTTGGGTTTTTTATTTTTAAAGGGTAAATTATTATAATATTTTAAATGACTAAAAAAATATTTTTTTTGCCATGTGGCACACATTTGGTAGCCACATGGCACAATTGTGGCCGCCACGTCAACTCTTAACAGATCAATGGATGAAAAATGTAACGGAGGTACTATATTGAAATAAAATAGTAGGTGAGGTATGAAAGTGAAATGTTTTGAAGATGTTTTATGCGATTGTAATAGACCCAAAACCTGAGGGGGTACAATGTAATTTACCCTTATTTCTTTTCACAACTAATTACATAATAATCATCAAGTACACGATAAAATTAATAATAAAATTAATTTATAAATAAACTCACACCCAATAATCAAAACATACCATCACACAATCTTTATCTACATTCATTCTAGCTAAAAACTCTAAGATGCTCTCGTAGAGAAAAACAAACTCTTTTTGAATGATGGATAATAATTTTGACATTTCGAAGTTATCCTATAACTAAGATATGACTTGATTCATGCAAGTTTTTTTCGATTTCAAATTTTTATAGGGTTTAAGAACAAAGTCAGCACATTTTCCAAAGCATAATTATTATCAGAAACCTATGGGATTTAAAAAAAAATTAGTTTCTTTTAATCATCTATATGGAATAAGCAAAATTAGCAAAAGAAAAATTAAGTACGAGACAAATATATAAAAGATGTTACTCTCTTTTTGCCTTGAATAAGTTGCAGAACATTAATTTTGGATTTTTATTTTTTAAATGGTGTAAAGATAAATTTATGTATGGAACTGGGTATGTGAAGGTAGTTTGATTGTAAATTTGGGTTTGAAAAGATTGATATTTTAATTAAAAGTGATATGAATATAGAGAGTAAGTTGGGTATAGAAAAATGTTATACGATTTTTTTTTTTTTTAAACGAGTATGATAGTCATTAATAACTAGAACAAGGTACAATCAGGGAAATGGTGCTAACAAAGGGCCTTGATAAAAACCTTCCCAGGAAGTAACTCGAATGAAGGGAAAAAGAGAGTCCCTCACCAATAAAATAATAAAAGGACTAGCCTCCCAAACAAACAAATGTTAACTATGAAAACCATCCTCCAACAAGAGGTCAGAAATTAAATCAGGAGTTTCCTCAAACCACAAAACCGGGTGATCCAATGTCAAACTGAATTTGGCTAGCTGATAAGCCACCGAGTTTGCATCTCGATGCATGAAGCATGCTTTCCATGATTTAAATGACTGCATAATCCTTCGGGTGTCCTCCAATAACAGCCCAAGCAGCCCTTGATTAGCCCCTGCATTGTTTTGCATTGTTTTCGAGTTAAAATAAAATTTTCCTTTAATTTATTATAGGCTAAATAGCCAAAATGATCCCTGAGATTTGCATAACTCATCACTTTGGTCCCTAACGTTTCAAATCGATAAAAGGGGTCCCTGATATTGTCCATCATCCATCATTTTGGTCATTCCGTTAAAAACTTTGTTAAGTGTCCCAGAGCTCTTGGCCAAAAGTTTGGACAATTTTCAAAGCTTCGTAACTCAATCGTTTCTTAACCAAATTCGACCCATAATATATCAAAATGAAGATAGGAAAGTGTAGAATAAGATTATACCTATTTGGAAGCTCAATGGCTGCTAGAGAAATAGCCTCAAAGTTGACTGGTATGAAGGAAAACTGGAAAACTCTCCGGAAACTGGGTAAATTTTAAACGCTCATAACTTCTTTAATACTCAACGAAATCAAGTGATTCAAAAACAAAATTATACCTCTCGACAAGATGAAGAGAATGGTACATTTTTAGATGGCTAACTCGCCGTGGTTTGGCAGGAAAATGGCTCGAAAGTGGCTAACTCGAGACCAAGACAGCCACTTTCGAGCCATTTTCCAGCCAAAAAATGGCGAGTTAGCCATAAAACAATGTACCATTCTCTTCCTCTAGTCGAGAAGTATGATTTTTGTTTTTGAATCACTTGATTTTGTTGAGTATTGAAGAAGTTATGAACGTTTAAAGTTTACCCAGTTTCCGGCGAGTTTTCCAGTTTTCCCTCGGACCAGTCAACTTTGAGGCTATTTTCTGACCATCTCCGGCAGCCATTGGCCTTCCAAATAGGTATAATCTTATTCTACACTTCCCTATCTTCATTTTGATATATTATGGGTCGAATTTGGTTAAGAAACGATTGAGTTACGAAGTTTGAAAATTGTCTAAAACTTCCGGCCAAGAGCTCCGGGACACTTAACGGAGTTTTTAACAGAATGACCAAAATGATTGATGGTGGACAATCTCATGAACCAATTTTATCGATTTGAAATGTTATGAACCAAAGTGATGAGTTATGTAAATCTCAGAGATTATTTTGGCTATTTAGCCTTTATTATATTCTCCTTCTTTTTTTGTTGTATATTTAGCCATTAGATGGCGAATGTGTTAAGTACTGTAATTTTTTTTTGGACAAACATGTTAAGTACTGTAACTAGTTGTGCATTATAGGACTTAACTACTATACTTGCATTTATTTAAAATATCCATTATCTAATAGTGGATATAGTCAAATATAATATTCTATTTTGGTTATATTTATGACGATTAGATGATGAATATATTAAAAAATGCATATACCATAGTCCTCCCTAAATTATAATCTAAAAATATTTGCAACAAAGTCAGATTTCAAAACAAAAAAAAAAGAAAAATATTAATTAAAGGCCGCGTGGAGTTTTGTATACCATGGTTTAGGGTTTATGGTGGCCACAAGTAACCCAAACCAATGAATATATCTCATCCAAAAAATAAATAAAAATAAATAAATGAATGAATATAATTAATTCCAGCCAAAAAGCGCAATACACGTGGGGTGAGAAGGGCACAGTAGTGTGCTAAGATGCGCACTGAGCAGAAATTTTTCGTTGTCACTGGAACACGAGTGGTACACCATATGTTTTTATAGAAGTGATGGAAGATTTTATTTTTTAAGGTGTTAACTTTTTAACATAGATATCACACCATTTATATAATGATACGTGATGTACTATTTCGTATACCGATCACACTGAAAAATCTCTGATCACCAAAGCGGCTAGATGCCCCCAACCAATTAGGATTTATAGGCCTTTTCTTATCCACCGGTAGTGCGTCATGGGCACCTTAGCACACTACTTCTTCTGGAAGCATAGGAAAAGCTTTGGGCCACTTTTTCTGGAAGCATAGGAAAAACGAGTCAAAATTGAACTGTGAACTGTGTAATCACGGATTTTTTCGCCATC